AGAGACAGGCGCTGGGCTCCGCAATGCCGTTCGGAAGCTCCCTGACAAACCACCCCTTTGGAGTTGTTTTTTTTCTTTTTCGGGGAGGAGGGGGTGTTTTCTGCTTTATTTTTTCACTCGCTTTTCAAATTTTTATTTCTGACGTTGCCCCCCCAGCAGCCCCTCTCCCGCATCCCTGCATCTCCCCTCCCTGGTGCGGGGGCTCGGCCACGCGGCCCCCGCTGCGCTGCGGAGCCGCAACATGGCTCCGCGGTCGCGTCCTGCTTGCCTCTGCGCCCTCGTAGCCCCTTTGCAACTCAGCTAGTCACAGAACTCAATTAGGAGGCTGCTTTTTTCCAGAAGCCGGCCAGGTCCGGCAAGGAGAGGGCTGGCAGCACCGCAGCCACCCTCAGTGCCACCCCCGGCAAGAGGGGACGTGTTCCCTCTCCCAGGCTCTAGCGAGACTGCAGCAGCGCACGTCGGTTCTTAGGTTAGGCTTTAGACCTCAATAAATCTCTGTTGCAAGACTCGTGTTTTCAGCTTCCTAAAGACACGCCGAGCCCTGAGTTTGAGCATCCTGAGAGCTGTGCTTGGGCAAGGGAAGATTTAATTATTCGGCTGCAAAAAGCCCTATAGCTGGATTCAGCCGCATACACACAACTCTCTGCACCCCCTCCCCTCTTCATCTCTGCTCCGCTTTTATCAGCATTGCGTCTGCCCAAGGAACCGGGTCCATAGCCATCTCCATCCTCCATCCCTGCAGCGCTTGCCGTGGGACACACGACCTTGTCTGCAACGGAGATGTCAGTAGCAGAGCACTTCCCTTGTTTAGGAGAGGGGGAAAGGAAAAACCTCACTGTACTTTGCGGGATTGCTTGATTTCGTGCTCGCCTGGGAAAAGCAGGTGCTTTTAGGGAGGGCTGCTGGGGGAAGAGGGACAAGGAAAGGGAAGAAGCAGAGGACACGGGCCTTGGAGGACAGCAGCGTGGTGGTGGTGAGGAAGGTAACTGCCCCCCGCTCCCGAGGCTGTGCTGCAGCAGAGCCATCGCGCAACCAAGCACTTGGGAACGGGTCGTGCCTCCAACCCTGGCAAGAGGCAGGAGTGAGGAAGCACGCGGTGCCCATACGGCTACACGGAGCGGTGCGGCAACCCATTCCTCTCCTGCGGACCTGATCCTGAGCGTTGCTCCGGCACGGCCAGGTACCATGTAACTGCAGAAGCTCACAGGGCAAGAGGCTGCGAGGTGCAGGAGGGCCCAGCTTCATCAGGAGGGCTCTAGAGGCACAGAGATCCTTAAGACAAGCTGGATTTTTCCCCTCCCTCTTCCCCAGTAGATCAGCGCAAGTACCAAAGTGTCGGAGACCTGCTTGCTCCCATGTCCATCCAGCGCTGCAAGGTCACAGGACACATTTTGACCTCATTTGCTCCCACCATAAGTCAGGGGCTACGCAGTGACTGGATTCACTGCTGGGGGAAGGGACACCCTCATCTCTTCCATACAGCCCTGCGGGGGCAGATTTCCAGCCACGGGGCAGTTCTGCTCTTGAACAAGTCCTTGGTTCTTTGCAAAGCAGGCAGTGAGGGATAAGGAGCCAAGTGCAGGGAGTCAGACCCCAGTAAACCGAAAGCTGGCATTAAGAGACAGAAAGGAGCAAGTCACTCCGAGGTAATCTGCAGTGCAGCAGGAAAGCTGCTGGCTCCCTCCAGGGGCCACCGAGAGGCCAAGGCCAGCTCTGAAGGCACGCAGGTAACTGGGGGGCTGCACGGGGCCCGATGGACGGGACTGGGCCTGGTCCCCACACTGGGGTGTGACGGGGATTAAGAATCAAGATCGATTGTGCCAAGACGGCGTAAGCCAGATGCTCCTCCTGGACCAGATCCCTCTCCAGGTTTGCAGGGGAGGGAGTCGCACAGACTCAGCCAACAGGACTGCCTCGATTCTCAAATGTTCTCCCCTCCCTCGGGCTTCCTATGCGTCCCCTTCTTAGCCAGGAGGGGGTTGAGGAGGTTAGACCTCTTAGCTGTAACCCTCTTCCCTCACACAAAGCCCCCATCCCGTGTATTGCTCCCGTCCCCAGGCTGCAGCCAGGGGTCTGCAGAACTGCCCCGAACGTGCTCCCCGCTGCTTGCGCATGAGCCAGCGGCTGCAGCATGGCCAAGGGGGGCTGGTTCGCCTCCCCAAAAAACAGTCATGGGCCTGGGGGCCGCCGCGCTGCACTGAGCCTTTCACGCCAGTCTGAAATCAAGGGAGACAAGAGCGTGAGGCAGCAAGAGTCAGATCAGCTACGGCTGGCGGATGGAAAAGTGAGAAAGGCTGGTGCTGGGGCCGGCCACAGCTTCGCTTTGCCTGTTTTCTGCTCATGTACTGAACCCTGTTTGTTTAGGTACATCAAGGCTCAAGCACCTGGGAGTGGAGCTTATTGCACAGAGGCCTACGTACGTCCACAAAACTGCCCCCACCTGCCTCCTCCACTGTGTTTTCCGCTCTGTGGTGGGATCCCATGTTCTCACCCACCTCTGTGTCAAAGCCAGCTCCTTAGTCTTGGTTGCTGGTGGTTCCTGGCTGGCTCAGAAGCTTGATTTGCTTAGGGTTCAGCAGGGGGCACCTGCTTCAGGACGTCACACATCCTGCAGGCTGATTAGGTGAAAAAAGCCCCCAGAGCAACACCATTAGTCACACAGCAAGGACAGCACCGGTACCAAGTCATCTCCTGTCCTAGGCACCATCTCCTTTTCAGTCAGAAGGAGGATTTATCCAAGATCAGATGTACCCCAGTGCCAGTCACAGCTTTAGTGAAGTCCAGTTTTCTGATGGAAAAGCCTTGGAGAATATGAGCTGGTCTCTGCAACAGCGGGTCTGGACCAGGCCATTCCACGATGGAGTCACCACAGAGAAATTACTGTCTTACTTCCCCTGTACAGTTCCCCCACACTCAGAAGAGCTACACAGTTTCCCCCCTCACAGGGAAAATCACAGCTGGGTCCAAGCTGGGGTGAGAAGGAAGATTTATCTTCCTCTCTCTAAGCACCCCTTCCTTGTAGTTGTACACTAAGCACCAGTCTCCACTCCAGATGTACACTAAGCACCAGTCTCCACTCCTTATTCATGTGACAACCGCTCAGGGAATGACTTTGCATATGACTGCCTCATCCTATACTAGTCCTGACATCAGTTAGTAAGGACAGGTTAAAAAAACACTTCTCTTTTCTCTCAAGTCACCACACAGCAGATGGAGCTGTGCTGTCATCCCACAGCGTGTGCCAGGGAGGCTTCGGGTTTGAGCTACGTCGAGAAATACTGGGACTGCTTGCAAATAGGATAAGGAGAAACAAATCTGGGTAGAGGCCTGATCCCGAGGGAAGCTTTAATGATATGGGTGGGTAAACCTGAGAAAGGAAGAGGTTAAAGGAAAGAGTATAACAGTCAAGTGCATAACAGGCTGCTGTAAGGGGAGGGAACCACTGATTTCCATAGCTGTGTAGGTAGTAACAGGCCCAGCCTGCAGCAGGAATGATTCAGGTATCAGGGAAAGAGCTTTCTGGTGGGAAGGACAGAGAAGCACTGGAACAACGTGGGCAACAGGAAAAATTCCTGCCTAGGGAAGATACTGGAGAAGCACCTAGCAGGTGCACTGATCCCTCCAGCCTTATATGCAGAAGGGGCCACAAAGAGAAGGTGGCATCACACAGCTATTTCCCCTGGAAGAATGGAAAAAAAACCCCAAACATCTTCAGGTCTTTTCCTAAGCCCAAAGGGTTCATCTGTGTCACCACAGAGACCCGGAAAGGTACCACTGCTCGAGGGGCAATGACAGGGCACAGTGTCTATAAAAGCCCAGGCTTGTCATCCTCATATAAGGACAAAGTTGAGGCATCCCCACAGAAGTGATCAAATTCAAGGTGTCGTTTTTTTTTCCAGAAAGACAGAAATGGGATGTACCTTTGTCAGTCCTATGGAAATAATCCTATTTGGGATTAGTTCCTCACATGGTTTGTCCCAAGCCAGCTCAAAACCAATTGGCAGCATTACCAAGGTATAATAATACCCCCAGGTGATATCCCAGAGCGACGGCTATTTTCTTTCACCTCCTAATAGCTCCCTTCTGATGAACTGCACAGCCTCCTGGGTATGTTTGCAGAAACAAGAGGAAAACGGCGATAATCTGATGTGTGTAGGATTATACATATATATACTATACAGCTGTATCTGCAGCTTTCTTTCCCCTTGAAAAGGCCGTGCCCAGGGGACTTGCAGAGCCTGACAGTGAAGGATTCAAAGCACTCGCTCAAGGACCTCAGACTCTGCCCTGCTCCCCCAGGATTTTTTAGGCTACAGGACAATTCACCTTACCTGTAGCACAGTTTTCCCACCCTGGGCTGCCAGAGTTTTGACACCAGAAGGTAAGGGACCCTTAGCAAGACAGCCTCCCTCCCTGCAGGGCTTGCCTGTATTTTAGAGTAGCTTGCCCATGTTTGCAGAATGGCTACAGGACTATGAAAGCACAGGGATCATTTTCACAGCCTGCTCTCCTAACCCTCTAAGTAACCCCATCGTCAGCTGTCGCCCAGCTGAAGCAGGCAGTACCTGTTTAAACTTTTATCACCTTTATTACAAAAGGAACCAAGATAAAACCAGTTCGTGCAGAACAGAAAAAAAAAAAAAACACAAAAAAACGGGACAAAGCCACTCTCCCTCTTGCAAAGGCCCAGGTGACCGCAGGATGGCACCACTGCCACTTCTCCCGGAGGGACACCACGGCCTGTGCCAGGAGCTGGGAGAGGGGAGGAGAAAGGAGAGGAGACAGAAGGGGAGAGGACTGCTGCAGGCAGGCTGGTGTTGATAACCTGCCCAGGGTTTTGGCCTCCCAGGTGGTGGTTCTGTCACTTAACCGCTGATGAATGATTCAGGATCCTGGATCTCCACAGGCGCTCAGCTACGAATTTGGTTTCAAGACTGTGGCTTGAATTAAAATGCATTCTGACCTGGAGAGGCAGTTCTGCCTCCTTCCACGAGCTTGGCCCTGCTTTCTCAGTGGCAAGAGCCACCTCTGATCTGGCGTTTACAGAAACAACCAGAAGTGATGTTCTACCAGAATCTTTCACCGTCAGCTTTTTAGTCCACCGTCCCCGTCCCCCAGTGGCTTTGCTACTCCTACTCAGCCCTGAAACCCTCTCAGCCTTACAGAGAAGCGAGCAGGCATCCTGCAGCCAGCCTGTTCCCCATCATTTCTGCCTCCTGGTGCCTAATGTTCCCTCTGCAGAGTGCAAGAGGCTGCCGGGGAGGAGGCAGGCAGCCCTCGCACAGCTTTCCTTGGGGTGGGAGGCATGGCTGCTGCTGTGCACAAGGTGGCACTAGCTCTCCATCTTACCAAGGCTGCAGGGACCTGCAGGGAACGAGCTGCCGATGCGAGATGCAAAGCAGGCGTTGGATTACTCTGTGTCAGAAGATATGGGCTCCGGATCCTTCCCTGCATAGCCAGACCCCTCTCTGGATACTCCAAACACCAACCGACCTGCTCAGGCACAGGTCTTTTATCTGACAGGCAGCAAGACTGGATGCCAGGACCATCACTCCCACGGATGCTCTGGATGCTGGCCAAGAGCTCGTGTCTAAAATGACAAGGCTCAAACGTGCAAGGAAACATCACCTTTCCTGCTGGTCTGCAAATTAGCGCTGCGAGAAAGCAGAGCTGCTAAAGCTCTTGCTCCCCGTAAGGGCAGAAGGTTACAGTCTTCACCTAGCTCACCCTTAGCTGAGCAAGTAGTTCTCCCTCCTTTCAGTCATTTCCACAGCTTTTCCAACTGAAAGCCACATGAATGTTGTTCCTTCTCCAGCCCCAGAGCAGCCTCCCCTTGCCCAGCCCTGCCCTTCCCCAGTGAACTGTGGTACCTGGCCTCCAGGGAGACTGGATGCTCTTTAACACTCCACCGCACAGTGACAACCTCCAATCTGCTCCGCACCCCCCCTCCTCCTTCCAGGAAAGCTTGTATCCCTTCCCATATGGAAATGTCAGCTGATTCAGAGATGTTCACATTTTGTGCAAAGAAGTGATCAAAGGCTTGCTTGCAGCTGCTCAGCTTAATTTTAGCTATTGCACGACACCAGAAGCTTGCCCCTAACTCACCTTCTTCCCGATAGCATCTCCAAATCAGGAGCGAGATTTAAATGAGATCTACAGAAATCGCCTAAATGTGATGTGTCAAATCTCTTGCATTCAGATGGGGGAAAAAAAAACACCCAACAAACAAACCTAGAAGCAGAGGAAAGGAGGGGGTATGTGCACGAGAGAATTTGTCAAAAGCTTGAACATCAACTCTCAGGAGAGAGGACCCGTATCACATGCTTGTACGTGGGCAGTGTCCCTGTTAGAGGCGTTACTTGCAGCTTGGTACCTTCATAAAAGAACATTCCCTGGGGTTCTGCAGCAAGAGAGGTTGTGCAGCGTTGATACCAGGGCACAAAGCTGCCAAATCCAGGGGCAACCAGGCTGCAGGCTCGGAGCGTAAGGCGTGAGAAGTGGAGACCTAAGTGTCTGGAAATAACATGGGGAAGAGGGGGAACAGGGATGTACCAAAGCAGCACTGGAAACTGGCCAGTGGAAGCAGGAGGACACGGGAGGGCTGTTTTACTGTGCTGCCTGACTCTTCTACTGGAGATTCTCTTCGCTGGAGGAGGCACATGGGTTTGCACCTTTCCTGCATGCTTTGCTGAGGGGGTCCTGCAGCTCCTTGGCTCACAAACCCTTCACACCAAAGGGTCCCCCCTTTCCCAGTGCAGCTAGCAAGACATGACTAGACAAAGTCAGAAATTTACACTACCGAAACCCCGATGCAAAACTTTACCCCCTGAAAGCCCTTCATTTCACAGCTAAATTCAGATGCAGACCCCAGAGATAGAAAAGCTTTTGGCATCATTACAGGAAAAGATCTAGAAGTGCTGTAGGAAGTTACATTCCAATTAGCTTCACATCAACGGTGGGGTAAGCATTACAAAGCATTTAAAAGATCAAATGCAAAAGCACAGCTTGAGTAATAGGGACCAAGGTGGTTTCAGCTAGGAACAGTTGTGGTTAATCTGATGGAGCTCTTTGAGGCTGTAACTGCTACAGGAGTCAAAGTGGTGGAAACAGGCAGAGCACAATTAGGTTTGCAGCATGCAGTGGACAGGGCTTTGCAAAAGAAGCTAATGACTGAGATGGGGAGTCCCAGAATAAGTAGATGTGCTGTGGCTTAATGCTCTGGAAATTGCCCAGAAACAAAGATGCAAGCAGGAAGGCATTAATGGAAACCTTCTATGTCAGAAGGAAATGATTCCTGGGATGGAGCAATACTGCCAGCTTGTCTGGAGCAGAACAAAAGGCAGGAAGGTAAGACAGAGAGCTCCCTAGGGCAGGGAGCTATATTTCGGTTCTGAACATCATGTTCCACAACTCCTCATGCCCCAAACAAATAATCCTCTCCTTTTTTTTTTGAGCAGAGCTGCTGGAATTCCTCTTTTTGTATTCTCTCCCTCATTTTTCTGCTCTAATGGTGTTGGTTTTGTTGTGTGCTTTTTTTAACAGAACCAGAAGCTCCTTTCAGAACTAACAGTGCCAGCAGCACGTACAGGACCCATCTAAGCAGGGATGGAGCAGTTGCGTGGCTGTGATCACATCTGGGGGAGCCCGAGCAATGCCAGGGGGTGCTAACTGGGAGTTACACTCCCCATATCCCTCCCTCCATGCATTCTGCAAATCTGCAGACAGATGGGAATGGCAGGCGAGGAACAGAAAGACCTCATTTTGTACCTATTATCTTCGGTAAGAGTTTTGCCACTGATGCATATGGGAACAAATTCTAGGCGAATGGCACCTAAACCACATCTGCCTTCCCAGGGCTTTGTAACCTGAGGGCAGGGACATAAGAGAAAATTCTGGTCCGAGGCATGCTGGAGCCAAGATGAGGTTTTTAGCTGTAGTCCTTGAATCCACTCTTAGGTTGTTCTACTGATGAGATCGACTGATTACTGTGCTCAGTTTTGGGGCCCTCACTACAAAAAGGACATTGAATGACTCGAGCGTGTCCAGAGAAGGGCAACGAAGCTGGTGCAGGGTCTGGAGCACGTGTCCTGTGAGGAGTGGCTGAGGGAACTGGGGGTGTTTAGTCTGGAGAAGAGGAGGCTGAGGGGAGACCTCATCACCCTCTACAGCTCCCTGACAGGAGGGTGCAGAGAGCTGGTTTGAGCCACTTTAGCCTGGTAGAAAGTGACAGGACAAGAGGGAATGGCCTCAAGTTGCACCAAGGAAGGTTTAGACTAGATATTAAGAAGCATTTCTTTTCAGAAGGGGTTGTTGGGCGTTGGAATGGGCTGCCCAGGGAGGTGGTGGAGTCCCCATCCCTGGAGGTGTTCAAGAGTCGGGTCGATTTGGAGCTTAAGGATATGCTGTAGGTGGGGACTGTGCTAGGAGAACGGTTGGACTAGATGACCTCCAGGGTCCTTTCCAACCTAGATGATTCTGTGATTCTCAGGTCTAGGCACATCGATTCAAAGACCCCAGGCAGAGGCATTCCCCACCTTCTGGAAGTCATCCTACTGTGGCAGCTAAGATTCAAGGTCATAAATCTGTGAGCTACTAATGCCAAGCACAGTATAGGGTGAACTAAAAAAAAATAAATAAAATTAACAAAATGCTTGATTCTTGGAGCATTCAGCACAAGGGGAAAAGAAACCCATCCCGACCCTGGAGCAGCAGAGGCCACACAACTTAATCTATTTGCCAGAGAAGGATGCAAAGCACCACAGGAGGTCACCAAATGACTCTGTGACACACTCGTACCATTTACTACAAACCACCTTATTTCCACACAAATTTATTTCTCGGTTCAACAGGTGTTAAGAACTCTCGGAACAATTTACCACTCACATCACATCGCCTCAGGGTGAACCGTAGATATTTGTAAGTTGAAATTAATGCAAAAAGGCCTTGCCCTGTCACAAACAACTCTACAAAGGCACCTGAAATATGCAGCTGGACCTGTGTTAAGAGTCAAAGCACTGACTAGCTCCCTTCAGCTCATCTAACCGAGCTCTGCTGACTGCCACTGAAATGGCAACGCCGTTAACTGTAGTGGCAACAGCCAAATTAGCACCACTGAGACGAGCAGGATCTCTGCAGTAGGATTCTTGGCATGCAGTTTGCTATTATATTTTCTCCAGCTTCACTAATTCTGATCCTTTACTATTCACTAGCTGTGCTAAATCCACAGCCTAGGGTGTAAATCCGATCACTGAAATACGGTATTTTGATTTTTATGGTTAGGGTTCAATTAAAAAAAAAAAAAAAAAAAAAAAAGGCAGGACTGTATGGGAAGAGGAGCAGCCCTTAGTGAAAGACACCTGAAGTGTCTTAAGACAGCTTTACTAGAATAGAATCCTTCCTGTCTTATCCGTGCTTTTACTTCGTAAAAGAACTGCAGGGCTTTGTAAACCCATTGCTTTTTTATTTATCTGCAAGTTCCTGCAGCACTGAAAACGCATCCTTGCAGAACCCCCTTCTCACGGGTGGGCTGTAATCACCCACGGTGAGATGTGCTTTTACAGCACGGGCAACTGGGCAGGCATCACACCAGACCACTTCTCTGACGACGGTTTTCTAAAAATGTGAAAAAGGGGTTGGTTTCTCCGAAAACAGTCTCTGATGTACACGGCTGCATCCAGACCTCCTCCTTCCTCTGCTATTTTATCTCGTTTTTAATCGTCCCACTTTTCTCTTTGTTATCATCATTAATACTTTTAATGCGTTTCTTACAAGAAACAGGGCGAGCTTGCCAGCTAGTGGAAATCAGCAGTGTCTGGGGCCGTGCCAATTTACTTCAGCTCAGAATCACAGCAATAGTTACCACCTTTTTGTTTGTATGAAGAAAAAGCCAGCACTATTTCTTACTGTACCTCTCTTCGCAGCATACAGATATATGTTTGCATATATATACCTCTCTATACATAATATACACACCCATATGTAAAATCTACTGTCAGAGAAATACCAGTGTTTATTCCAGAGCATGATTTCTTTGAAAAATGGCTTATTATGTGCCAAACATTCTTATTCTACTGAGGACAAAAAGTGCCTTGTAGAATTAAGTTTGGAAAAGCTGCAAAACTAACTGCATTGGAAATGATGAAATTAGATCACAAAGACAATCCATTGTCATTATCCAGGACTCTGGGGCTCCTGTTCGTACAACACTTAGAGGTGGCAGAGAGGTACTGCCTATAAATCCCCCTTTCTCCGTGATGGGATGGTTCTTGTAACTCATCTTTCAAACAGACTGAACATTTCCTGCAGTCACCAGGCTAGAGATGCTTTCTGCCTCTGGACAAACTTTACCAGAGTGACTAATGGCACAGCTGGGTTCCTGAGAATAATTCAAACGGCTTCTTTATTGTTCTGTGAGCACCAACAACAGCCACGAGCCTCTCCAGAAAGCACACGTGGGCTTCTCACTGCAGGTGTGTTGGTGAAGCCGATTACCACACATACTGTGCACCACCTATTTTTCCCTCCCCTCCTCCTGTCTGTCCATTTATCTCTAGCATAACCACACCCTCACACTTTAAACAGCAATAAGAACAAACATCACAGAATTACTTTCACATTTGCTACCTTTCCCCTGACTTTGCTCAGGTTTAGCTTCCCGGCCCCCGGCTGTGCCTTTCTGTTCCCACTGCAGAACCGATGGGGAGGGTCTCGGCTCCACTTGCAGAGCAAGTTTCTCCACAGGCTACTAACTACTACTAGACTACTAACAACCTCGATGTCCAGAGTATTTCCGAATGAAAAAACTGCACATGTTCAATGACTGAAAAGCACAAAAGTGCTGCTCCATAAATGCCTTACATCATTTTAGCTACCCT